GGTTCAAGAGTGCAGTTTCTTGTCGCCGGATTTAAGAGTCTGGACTCTTGTTTCAATGCAAAATCCGCTTGAATCAATGCAAAATCCGCTTGAAACAAGAGTTCAAGACTCTTAAGTCAATGCAATGCGGCATTGGTCCGAGAGGTTTTTTTTACCAGTGTTGGCCGGAAGGTGACGATATCTTCCTTTTCTATAGCTTTGTCGATTAATTTCAAGAATCAGTGCACTGTGCGCCGGCGAGGCGGAAGGATTTTCGTTTGGGGGCTCATCGCGTGTCACCCGAACCCGAACGCCGAACGCGGAACCCGACAATGAACGCGAGTGGAAGCTGCAAGTAGCAAGTTCCCTCGTTGAAATTAAAGTGAAATCTCGCCGCTTTTACTCGGCATCCAATTTATTCCGCGGCGGCCGCAACCTCGACAAGGACACGATGCACCACCTCCGTCGTCCTCCGCGCCGAAGGACGTAACTCCATTCCAACGTTGCAAAATTGACTCGGAAATTCGAATTTTTACGAGAGAAAACTTGCACTGTTTTCGTCAAAAATGTGTCTGATTTTTGCATGAGATCAGAGGAAAAATCGGTAAAGTTCCCAGTCGGAAAACCTTAAAATCATCCTGGTAAAAATGCAATTTTCGAGGGATGATCTGGCAACATTGCAATGCAGTTGCGTTCTTTCGCGAGGGAAAGGAGGACTCGGGAGCCACTGAACGGTAACCAGCTTCGATGGATCGGAGAAGTGAAAATTCAATTACATTTACTTTCGTTAAAAAATAGGAAGGACAGAAATCTCAAGGCTGTATGCATCTTCGTTCCTTTAACAGCCATTTCTTTCAAGAGGCGCCATTATGGTTTATTGTGATGAAGTAATATTTTCTCATAAATACCGGACAGTGGTAAGATTATTTTCCGGTGATTGATGAGTACTGGGAATTCTATTATACCGACATGATGATTAATGTAAGACGGTATACTGATGTGTTTTTTACTCGATATAATAAGCGTTAAGCATCGTAAGTTACGCTTCCTTGACAAAATTTCTCAACACACACACATTCACCGGGAAATCTTGGTATTTTTACTGGGTTTCAAAAGTTTTCGTACTTGCTCGATAATTTACTCGTAGTAAAATTTTGTCGTGTCACAGAAGAGAGCCGTAAGTGAAATTCTGCATGAGCCTTGGTTATTACATGCTCTTATGTGTCGCGAGGCTCATCCTAGAATGCACATACGAAACTTTTCAGCACGGCAGAATTGCCGTAAAACAGGAAAGAGCGATTTTTCATGAGTTTCAAACCATCACTGCTACCAAAATTAGGGAAAACCTATCATTCCCCCAGAAATTTAGGGTGGCGTAGCTCTGTAGGGAAGCACCTTTGGGGGGAAGGAGCTTTCTACAGGAAAAAAACTCATTTTGACAAATGTAACAGTGTAACACGACCCTGGAATATGGTGGTTAACCCCAAGGCAGCCTGTATACATAGTCGTTGATGAAAACACGAAAAATAGGTTGGCAGAGAATCTGCAATGGAAAATGGAGAATTTGCAAGGGTCTGAAATTTGATGAATTTCGTGTTTAAGTGGAATCTACTGAGTGAACTAAACACGGGGATACCCTTCATTCATAAATTGAGCAATTATTAGAGGAGATATGACAAAATAACCGATTCTGCTAAAATACATGTGTTTAAATGGGAAATGCCGCCAGATGACGTCACTAGACGGTGCATTTTCTCACTTTTAAATATATTTTTAAATCATCACCCATGTCAGAAGAAAATTATAAAAAATACTGTGAAATCAGCTCTTTAAGTATACTTTCAGATGAAGCAATAAAAAATGTGCTTGCAAATTCTCCGTTACGTAATGCAAAGTGCAGTTTTGCTACTCCTGGTTAGTTTCGTCCATTCAAACAAAACATCTTAGATTCAGCATTCACTAATCATAAAATGACTCGGGTTTGTTTTTCAGAATCGTCGCAAGAAAGCAGAATAGTTGAAAGTTACTCTCATTAAAAGAGGTTTAAAAATCAATTCATCATATTTTGTAGTGACATGCATGTAAGCTCGCCGAAGGCATGAAGCTTTGGAGGATTATTGATCTTTAGTCGTCAATCTCAACAATCACCACTTAAGTTCCGTAATCCTTTGTGTTCCTCGGTGCTCGACCACAAGTGCATTATTACATACTATTACAGCACAAGAACGAAAATTGACTCCTTTAGTGCAATCAGTCTTCAGTCAAATAATGTAGCCTTAGTTGACAAGTTCACAATAGACATTGACAAGTCAGTTGACAGGATAATCTTCGGGAAGAAACCTCGGATTTGCCCTTTGTTAAGTAACACATCGTAGTATCATACAAACGATGCATCGGCAGAAAGTTAAGTAAACTTTTCCCTTCGTTTAGCTGTGGATACTTTAAAAAGGTGTTTATTTAATACTTCAGAGTGAAGCATCAAGTCAACAAATGATGATTGATCCTTAGTAAAAATTACCCAGATCGCATTTAGTAAACAGGAACGAGAGCGACGAGTGTTGTAAAAATGTTGCTTCTTCAGAATCATGTTACACAATCTCCAAGCACAGCAAATAGCTTTGGCTTCCTACCAAAAAATAGTCAATTTTAAAGAAAAATAATGGTGGAAATTTTAATACTGTACATATATTAAGTATTTTAAAAAGAAAATGAGAAGTCGCACAATTTTAAAAACACCGTAATCGAGCTAGTTCCTTTTTGCTGTATGCGATCCAGTTATTATTGTCTCGAAAATTCATCAATTCTGTACATTTATTGGGCACGTCAAGAATAATTGGACGTATTTATACTAAAAAGAACTATGTGCATTGGGTTTGTGTGCAACTGCAACATAGTTCCTTTTAGCATAAATACGTCCAATTTTAGGGCTGGAAATCAAATTCACGAGTACTAAATTAGTGATTATTTGCTGAGACACATACAAGGTAGGAAAAAAATACGAAAATCAAATAAATGCTAATTGCCTGTAATAATAGTATATTTTAAGTACTTCAGTAAAACCTTAAATAAAGCGAACATTTCGTTCAAAATATTTTGAGATCAATAAAACTTCAAGTATGAGAAACCATTAAGGATCTGGACTACAGCCCAGGAATATTAAGAAAAAACATTGAGATTCCTTTAAAGCATCCGTAAAGTCAGGCTGTGTAATAAGTTAATGATCACACACACAGTGGCAAGGCGTGAATGATAGATTGTCGATATTTCCTCATTTGAAGCTATGGTGAAACATCGACTGTCAAGATATACGTTGGGCATACCCTGTCTATCGATTCTTTTTCATAGGTTTAAATGACGGATAACAGATTATCGATTTATCGCAAAATGACCAGTGGCAGCGTAGGTCAGGAGCGAGAGGATAGCGGCGGCATCCCCAATTTTTATATTTTTTTTAAATAAGTAAAAATATGATTTATCATTGTGATAACAACCGAAAATTACGTACTAGGTGTTCCACTGTCGCTAAGATTGTGCAACTTTTTTCACATTGCCAGTACAAACTGATCACCTATGTACGTTTTATCTTTACTCCCGAACAACTATAAATTCAAGCCAAAAATTACTTTTGTACATTTGATTTTTGCATGATTTCAGTGCCGTTATTGCAAAGAATGCAAGTTACACAACCCTAGAAACATGAAAATACTCTTGATTCCTTTTTGAAAAACGCAATCAACTCGTAGCACAGAAGGAGCCCATTGGCTGGGGGGAAATTCGCCCCCTCCAAAAGTTTTAGCCCACGCGCCACTGCCAATAACTCTCCTACAAGTTGGAACGTTTTTAACGTTTATGTTATCACCAGTTTTATTTTCACGAGGAATAATGGGGAAGATCTTAAGTTAAGACGGCACAATCCTGAAGTCCCTTTAACTTTCTTGAGTCCCCTGCAGAGAGGCCTGGATTTGTTCCTGTTGCTCACAAGACGATTAAACCCACGTCGAAGAAAAAGTAAAGGAAGTGAGACGGACATATCCCTGAATTGATCCCGGCTTCGGGCCGAGTTACAAATGAAAGTGTGAAAAATAGGGGGATTGGAGCCATTATCGGAGCGTGTTTATCGCCCGACGCCAATAAAAAATCGATTCGGTTTTTTTTTTTTACAAGTTGAGCGGTGATAAGGGAGGGTAAATGGGGGAAAATTTTTAAAAATTTTCTTAAATGGGGGAAGTTTCGCGATAATGGTAGCCTTATTTGCTCGGCGCACAAGAGACAGGGGCAAAATTGGACGTATTTCTATCAAACGGAACTATGTTCATTGTGACGTGAGCCCTGTAATGCATATATTCTTATGGGTCTCAGGGCTCATGTTTTAATGCACATAGTTCTGTTTAATAGAAATACGTCCAATTTTTTCGGCTCTTTCACACGGAGACGCAACATTAATTGATAAGTACAAACCGCACCACCGACCGCTAAGTCGGACTTAAGTGCGGTCAAGACTCGTCCTAAGTATATTTAACTACGATGGAAGGACCTAGAGTCCCTTCATTTTGAGAGTTAAGACAATGTGGCTCATGAATGTCACAAACGGGAATAAATATTACACAAATTGGACGTTTTTTGTGATCTTTGATCAACCCATTCAATATGACAGGCGATTGAAGAGGAAGATTCAAAAAGAGTTCGTAGGTTTGATAAGTTCTTTTTCCTAAGCCAGTAAAAATTCGTGAGCTCCTCGCCATTAATTCACTAAATTTTGTAGACCATCAAAGTTTAAACATCTGCCTAGGCATTTGACAAAATGCCTGATTTTACTATTTGCCTGCGATACATATCGACGGTGTAAGTCGGCAATCTCATATCTCGTTTGCGGTGTCTGAAAATCTCCGCCTCTATGTTATTTTTTTAAAGGGGACCAAATTGACGTCGTTCCTTGAAGTTTCCGCGGAATTTCCTTCGCACAGAGAAAAAAAATCATGGCAGTTTCAATGAATTGCCGTTGAGTAGTTTTCTGTTTAAAAAATAAAGTATGAGAGGAGGTCTGCAACGTCACAATCCGAGTTATGTGATTGCCGACTTACACCGTCGATATATTCTTGTGTGTCTTAGGGCCTGTCTTAATGCACATAGTTCCATTTGGCAGGAATACCTCCATTTTTGCTCAGGCCACGCTTGGTCAAGAGCACTGAAAACTCTTCTCATCGCCAATAAACCTATCGATCAATTCGAGAGCCCACCGGGGTTTAGCAGCAGCAATCAGGTGCCCCGAATTCCGCAACAGAACTTCGGTTAGAGGTCCGGTCGTTTTGTAATATCCAGCCACTTCATCCCCCACCGTAAACTGACACCTCTTCGCCTTGAAGTATTCTTTGGACCGAGGCCACTCGTAGGCATCGAACATCCTGCCCCTGATTGACCTGAATGGGTCCAGCTGACCGTATACGCTCAAAATCGGTAGAGATCCATCCGTGAGCATGGATTCGACCGCTGGTTTGGTCGATGCCCATGGAGTTCGGTGCAAATGTTCGCCAGCCTCCGCGGAATTTTCCGTGAACTCGTGTTCGCCTACGTGAAGAGCTTTCTTTATCTCGGGTTGATTCAGGAACCAGGATGATGCTTTCTTCTGGTACACGCCGATGTCATCGTGTACGAAATCTAGAGTGTCTCTCAGCCCGGTAAATTCTTTAATGCGCTTTACCGTTTGGGCCCAGTGGATTCCCTATAATCAGGATAAATTCAGGTTACTTGCACTGAGAAAAAATAATAGTCGAGTAGAATCAAATAAGTTTTGCTCTACCATGTCTGCCAACTTTTTAGCCCTTCAAAATGGAAAAATCTGACATTTTTTTTTTTAAATTTGTTCAAAATTTTACGCTTAATCAGGTCCCAACATCGCTTTAGGCAGTTTTTGCCATTTAATATCAGAATTTTGGCCCTAAACAGCTGAAATGTCCTGTACCGTAGCCTGTCTGTGACTCAAGTGCGCAACTTTAACGCTTCATAACCATCATCTTGCATCTAAATACTTCCACTTCTGCTGTAAATTCACACTCAATTTGTACCTAACTTATTATTTTCAGTTACATTCATCCAAATAAGTGAAAATATTGACAGTCTTTGCGTCATGCAGCCTTGTCTGCGGAATTCGCGTCCTGTACCGTAGCCCCCTTTTTTCAGCATCATTTCGTCCGTTACAGTGCAGCACTTATGAACTTTGTTTACTTTTTTTGTGTTATCGTGACTATCACACGCTGATGTCGAGCAGAGGAAAAAAAACCGCAATGAAACAGTAAATTTTGACCGTTTTTTATGAGTTTCTAGGTTTAACGACCATCTAGGATGTCCTTACCGTATACCTACCTTTTTAATGCATAAATCACTTCAAACTCTCGAATTTTGGTATTTTTTGATACGCTCTGATATCTTAACCTCAAATCCAGAATTTCAACCACATGCGTGAATATGCCCGAGCACCGTTGCCAATAATCACACGATTTGTCCGCACCGTAGCCGTCCGTACCGTAGCCCGTAGCTGACGCGCGATGCGGCCGGGTCTACGGTAAGTACGGACAAAATGCGAAAGTCATCCAAAAATCGGTGCGCTGTTTGATAGATCATCCCACTTTACTTTATTTTATCTATCACCAAAATTTGGAATTTAAAAAAAAAAGAGAGACGTATTTTTTTTTAGTACGACGCGACTTAGAAGAAGGAGGCTTTTTTTTCGATGATTGCATAAGGATCGCCATCTTTTCATTTTTTTAATTTTTCTTTTAGAACTTTGAGTCCTCTTTTTCGTCTGAAGTTCATAGCAATTTATTCGTTTAATATTTATTCGTTAATATCTAACTTATTTTTTTCTTATTGTCCTTTAAATATTTATTTAAGGTGATTTGTGACCACATTTTCGATAAATTTACCTTTTTGTTTTCTTTCTTATTTTGTAAAAGTACACCTGAAACGTTCTAACGTTGTCAAGCTTGTTTTAAGAACTCAGCCTCTAAGATTTGTCCCTAATTATTTAATGCGTTTACTTTAAAATAAAAGCAGTTCATTATTTTTGAAAAACTGATTTACTTACTCTTTTTACCTTTATTGCCTGTAATTATTTATAAAAGTGGCACTTATAAGCTATGCTATAACTTAGCAGTTTATTCCCCAATGAATTTCAGTTCTTTATAATTCGGCCCTTGCATACAGTAATATTTACGAATGCCTCTTCGTCCTTACCGCAGCCCGTTTGTCCGTACCGTAACGTTATTGTCCTGTACCGTAGACCAGTAAAAAATTGTACAATTTGTAGCTTTAAAAAGAGCAAACCTGTAGAAATTCTTTAAAAAAGTTGTCTACCACATCTTCTAAGTTAATTCTAAAGAAATTAATTAAAATTAATCGTATAATTACATTTCCCGGTTTTTATGGGAGAAAAATGATGGCGCAAAATTCTATAAATCGGACTTTAGAGCAATTTGGGTGCTAAATTTTGGAAGTAAAAACTTTGAAGGAATTTTTTTTTTATTTTTCTACAAGAATATATCTCATTGAGTGCAAAAAAACTTAAAACGGTATTATTATCGCACGTATTGATAGAAAAACAAGCCTGTTTAATTGGTCTACGGTACGGACAAAAAAACTTAACTTCCAGCGATAAAAGAGGCCAAAAAATTTTTTCTGTTGAAAAAGAAGATTGACCACTATTAAAATCGACTTTCCAAGAGTATGAGGACTTCAGAAAACATCCTGAAGTCTTGAAATAACTAAAGTCACTTTTTTACAAAACGATGGCTCCAAGAGCAAAACTTATTTGATTCTACTCAGTCATGATTACCATATTAGTGGTGTTCATTATGACCTCTTAAACGGACGTGTTTCTATCAAACGGACCTAAACGCCATAGGGTGAGGAGGGTAGAGGGGGGCTTGGATTGGCGGCGGAATCGGGCGTCCGGCTTATTTCGTCCTATACTCGCAATGCTTTTCCATGGCAGTTAGGTCCGTTTGACAGAACGCGCTATCCGGGATTCTAAATTCCTCAAAAGGAACTCAATTTGGCGCTTAGTTCCGTTTGATAGAAATACGTCCAAATAGTAGTTGCCATAACCAATAATAGAGATATTTTTACCATTAAATGGTAATTTTACTACTGCACTCTTGTAAAATTACGATTGTTCCAGTAAAAATATCACTTTTATTGGTTATGGCCACTACTAATTAAGAGTTCATATTGAACACCACTAATATGGTACAATTATTTTAGTCAGAAATTTAAGTTCAACAACGAGCAACAACGGATTTGAAGACTAAGCAAAAATTCGGTAAGAATCACATGGTCAACTTGTAAATCATCACCCTCTGGCCAAAGTATCACAAGCGCCATGCAACGTTTCAAAATCTCCGTTCATTTTTCTCCATGCAGAGAATTGTTGGTTGAATATGTTTGCAACTTTTACTAAATTTTATCGGCAGCATAAAAAAAATCAGTGAATTTATAGGACATCTTCGTCGAAAAATTTTTCCGTATCAAATAAAATGGCGGCGGACATTTTTAACGTCGCAAGGCGCTTGTAATACTTTGGCCGGGAGACGACGAAATGATGCAGAATGATGATAGACAAAATTAGCAAATGATGATATTCCTAATCCTTCTCGAGCTCTAATCGAAGCGATTATCTCTGGTCCCATAATTAATCGTATTACAAATATTGCAGAGATTGCCAACATTTATTAAAACATAACTATTCTTTTTCAATGTAAAATTGGGCATGGACTAAAATTCAAGTAGTGATCGAATTCCAGCAGCGGCGGATTCCTGTAGGAATAATTGACCCGAAAAAATGTTCCATTGTCGCACATAGTGAATCGAGTCAATGAGGTCGGACATGAAATTTTTGACTAGAATTGCAAATTTTAACGTTTGTCCGTTACATTTTAAATTTAAAGGGGCGCTTTTAGAAGACAATTTCTCAAAGTTACCACTGAAACCTCCCGAACATTTAGAACCTCTAAGTTTTGTATATACGGAGTTATAAGATTTTTGAGTTCACTGGAAAAAACACATTGGATCTAGAGTCCAGACTCTTCAAAACATACTCTTGATTCGATCAGATTTAAACGTAAATCAGGAACCAAGCCTCTTAATTTGAGCGGATTCCCTTTTGATTTAAGTTTAAATCTGCTTGAATCAAGAGCCCTTTTTTCTTGTCAATGTTTTCAAGAGTCTGGGCTCTAGATCCAACGTGTTTTTTTCCCCCAGTGTTTCCAAATTTTGTAGGACCTCTCTTACTGGCTCGATCTCCCGTGCGTCGTGAAGAATGAAATAAAAACTTACCGACTCGGTTGCATTTCCGACCAATTCAATTGCTCGCAGTTCTTCCTCATAGCCAGCGATTTCCTGCCTCTGGAAGTCGTCGATCAGACCCAACTCGAAAAGGAACGAACTGCTCCTTCGGAGCATCCCCCGGTCCGTATGTCTGCTCGCTATAATCAACCTCCTTAAATTCAACTTGAGATCGGAAACCTTGTTTTCCTCAAAGATCTTTTGGGCCAGCAGCTCCGCGTACACCGTTCCGGTAGACTCTCCTACGAGCACGAGTTTGTTTTGCTTAAAAGACGGGAACATTTTGTGTAGCTGAACCAAGAATTTATAAAGATCCTCAGTCACAGCCTTTAAACTCGTGGAGTACCCTGATTCTGATTTCGTGAAGCTGAATCCAGCGCCAACCGGGTTGTCGACGAAGACCATGTTGTATTTTTGAGTCCAGGCGTATTTTCTGCGTTTCAGTTTCTTGTCGCGCCCGATGTAAAAAGGGCCCGTGTCTCTGAATAGGCCGAACATTGCCGTTTGGGCTAGTCCTCCGTGCAGCCACACGATCAGCGGACGTTCTTCAAACTTACCTGGAAGATAAACATAATAATAAAAAAGTAGTAGCGACTGGTAAAAACTTTTAAAAAACTTTAATTTCAAAAAAATAACTCTCAAAAAACTGTTGAAATTTACTCAATAGGAAACCCTTTTTGGCGATTTTTAAATAAAACATACGAGCAGTAAAATTTAAGTAAGGAGCTGTGAAAAAAACTCTCCAAATATAAATGAAGTTTTTCAACCCTGTAAATGTTTGAAAAAAATGTTGAAAAACTACGGTGATATTTTAAGAGTTTTCTTAACACTTTCCCTTACATTTTACTTAAATTTTGCTTCTCATAAATTGTACTTTAAAAAATAATCAAAAACGGTTTCCTAATACGAAAATTTTAACAGTTTTTTGTACGAGTTTATGAAATGGACTACGTTTTGCAATTTGGAACCATAAATTCTAGCCCAGTTTAGAAACAACGTATGTGCCATTAGTTTCCCTATGCACATAAGTGTTTTTCTAGAGGATCCAAAATTTAAAAGTTTCACATTGCAAAGTGCAGTCCAAATATACTCTTAAAGGTCATTGCTTTTAGGGTACTAGGGTAGATTATCATGAGACAACTACACCATGAAAAAGCTACACCACCGCTAAAAAGTAAATTATAGAAAAACAAATTCCGTCCACCGTGCTTTGACATCAGAAGCATTAAATAAATGTATAATAGACAATTCTATTCTAAATATGTAAGGCCTCTATCCTATATCTGGCTGTTGAGGCTGTTCGATTTTGAACACATTGCCGCACTATTATACTAGAATTCCATAGGAAGGTCGAGATAAAAAAGCGCTTACTATTGGCTGAGCGCTCAAAAGAGGATTTAGCAGTCTAATCGTATCAGGACTAAAACCAACTTATTTGGTTCGCATATTTTGGGCTTGAGTATAATGAGAGTTTGAGTATGATGAGTATGAGTATAATGAAAGTATGAGTATAATGGAAACTAAAATAGAATACCTTGTTGACTTTTAAAAAGCCAGAAGAATAGATTAGCGCCGCTAGTGCTATTCACAGTTAAATATCCAGCGTAGCTCTTGATGTCTCTAACGAGAGAAACCTCAGAAAGATGTTGGGCCTTTTCTATTTGGCCAGCCTCGATGAGTGGTGTCAAAAATAGTGCCCCGTCTTTCTTACTGATAATTTTGTCATCAGCGAGAAAGTCGCGGGTATTGACTTTCAGTTCCTCGATAATTTGTGTATCAATCGATCGATTATGATCACTTTGGTGATTGTTGTCAATCAGATTGTCAATCTCGTGGGTTTCACTAGCAATAATACGTAGGTCTTTGTCGTCTTCCCTTTTGGATTGATTAACACTGCTAGGGCCACGAATGGAAAAATTATCAGAGGTGCTGAAACCATCGTGAACCGCGAGAAATATAGTCACTAAAAACAGCATCGACTTTTTACCGGAAAATCTCGTCATTGCATCAACGTGATAACGTGACATAGCAATCGAGAATGTCACAGGTTTCGCTATTTAATGAGCTCTCTGTTCAAGTTTGGAGGATAGTCCTAAAATAGTCAAATGTAAGCTTAGGTTAGATGGCAAAATAAACAACGAAGCTAGGTAATTTGTAGTTAAACTGAGAAATTGAAACGCTATTTCTTTGAATTTTGTTTTGGGGGGAGACCGATTTTTCATTTGCCACAGAGAGAAATCTCTGGGCGAAACTTGAATTCAAATCAAATATGCGCACGATTGCTTCTAGCTCGATCTACGTTGGTGGCTGTAAGAACACTATAAATGCCCTTGCACTTAATTTTCTCAACAAGAGCATCATTTTCCTCTTCAGTTTAAGTGGCCCTAATCTCTGTATCTCTACCAAATCAGATTTTTTTCTAGTACGATGTAATCCTTCTCCATGGAAGTTGACTTCTTGTTGCTAATCCTATTTTTTTACATAAGGAATAATTTCATTCACTCACCACGTGAAAACCTATCAGAATATACGTGTGTGTTGATATTTTGCACCTAAGCCTACCATAAATTTTTATGCAACCCAGACAGATTGTTTATATTGGTGCAACCTGCATGGATAAGTCTGCACTGTGAATGTGACTAAAAATGATATTCTGCTCATTGAGCTTATGAGCAAAGTGCAGCACAGCAAACCACGTTGAAAGAACAATGTGCATGTGTACTCTCAAGTATGTACGAACCGGAGTACCGATATCGGCAGAGTACGAACATGTCGGTATTTTGAGGTGAGATCATGGAGCTTTTATGGCCCAAAAGGGAAGCCAACCACTGAATTCAAATTGTTCAGAGTGATTTATTATTACAATTGTTACGTCCCGTAGTTTGTAAAGTTCATGTTCTATAAATTCACTCATTCTTGCGGAAGAACGCTCATTTATCAACTTTGGTCTCTATTTTGTTTTGATATTGGAATCCAAAGCTTGGTGGTGACATTTATCGTGTTCGAAAGTTGACTGCTGGAATTTGCTATCTTTTGATGTTCGAAATGTTACATGATCAATTTGTTTACATTTTCCGAAGAATTTCTCAATTATATTCTGAAATTCCACGATTGTTTGAGATTTTGCAAAGAATACGAACTTACTTGACATACTATTTTGCGAGGCTTTGACTCGGTAATCGCCTGACTTTAAGGCAGTCAGCAGAATTAATACAAACGAGAAGCTGTGAAGGTAACGTACTCTGATTTTTCGCCTTCAATTTTCAAAGTAGGCCAGAGAGCGTACTTCGTGCAGCAATAGTTATCTAATAGAAACATTGAATCGTATTTCCATAATCTTCCCATGTAAATTGATCCTATTCCATTTTGAAATGTTGATGCGAGCTCTGTCTTTTTCTATAGTCTAGTGGCCGATTGTGCACGTTTAAAAATCAATGATCCTTAAACAATGCACGAGCTGAGTTTCTCTCAATCCGATGTATTTCTATCAAACGGAACTATGTGCATTATGAAATGAGCCCTGTTATGCGGGTATTCTAATGGGTCTCAGGGCTCATGTCATAATGCACATAGTTCCGTTTGATATAAATACGTCCAATTTTTCTTCGCGCTGAGAGTTTCTCCAAGCTCCAATTTTTTTTTCAGTTATAGGTCACGGAGTTTGCTCTGCTTCATGTTTCGCATCCACCCTCAACATAATGGACCTATTGCAAACCTCAGCTAGAGCAAGACGAAGAGTTCTTTCCTGTAGAAAATGGCTGGAAAATCACAATGAGTGCATCGGGAAAGTCTGAAATACACTCCTAGCTTCACAATCTGCGTAAAAAATACGCGCAAAAAAATCAATGATATTAAAATCAAAACACAGCGGTGGCTCCGGTGGCACCCCTTGCGCGGAGATTCTTACTTCTCCGAGCTGTACATAAACCTTAAATAAAAAAAAACCTATAAATCCTATTTATTAATGAAATCTTATATTATTATCATTTATATTTTAAACCTGGTTATTCCTTTTAATGAAAGAAGTTTAGGATATAGGTTAAGTTAGGGTAAGTGAAGTTACATGAGGCGAGGTTAGGTTAGGTTTCGACGGCCACATCGCACTGAAAAAAAATTCGAGGCGTTTTTACCAAGATCCGTTGGTACCTTTACCATTTCACTTTTTTTACTAATTATTGGTAATTTTACCAAGACAGACTGGTAAGCTTACCTACAAACCGGTATTTTTACTGTTTTTTCCAGGTAAGAATACCACTTTTATTGGTGATCAATTCCCGGTAACTTTGCCATGTTATCTCGGTAATTCTGCCACAGTCGATGCCGTTTTTACCGGGGTCCAGTAAAATTACCGAGAAAGTCAATAATTTTACCGAGATTTCTTGGTAAAATTACCAATTCCATAAACGGTAATTTTACCAAGAAAAAACTGGGATCAAATAGAAACCTGAATTCTTGGTAATTTTACCCTTTTCTTAGTAAATACACCGAGATTTTTTTTCAGTGCGGAAAGGAAAATCACGATGGATTTTTTATACGATAAAGTTTTAGTGTAAGGTCGTTGTAAAGCTATTGTTTCTATAGGAAAATATCTTTGAAACGGCACTCCTCAAATAATAGCACTCGAAACTCTCACAAAAATGACGACATTCGAGGGGCCTTTGATTGCAGTTTAACGGCTCTTCTCACCTCGTCGCGACCTTTTAATCGCTCGTTTGCTGACGAGCTGCGCCTGTGTGTATTATTATTGCGCCGGTGTGCTCCTCTCATTTTCGCCCCCGGATGGGGGTCGGGGGCGGTTGCCAATATCGTCGATTCCTTTCTCAAATCACGTTCGCTTTAATAAAAAGCGATGCAATCTTTTGGTCCCTTCCCCAACCCCTGCGGGGGTAGTTGATTTAACTTTCTTGTCTTAGAAGCAACGTCCTCCCCCGACGATCTGTCCTTTTCTTTCTCGGGCAACTTTAATAAATCCGCTGTGTGCACCGGTATTTTCACTTTCCTGTCTGGCGCTTCAACGCGCGAGTAAGCGCGCTGCGGAAAAAAATGTTTTGAACCGATTACAGGAGCGTAGTTTAGTTTTCTGCTGGGGATGGTCCAATTATGATTCTTGAAAATATCGGATTTTTGCATTTTCCATCTATTTTTTACGAAACATTTTATAATTTTTTATTTTCGACCCTAAAGATTGAATTCAGCTGAAATGCATCTGTATGCTAACATAAAATGATCGACTTTATGTGATAAAAGTATTTTTAAAGTATCCATTCTAATTATTGTAAAAAAACCTATGTTTTTTTTATTCAAATTTAGAATAAGGAGAATATGAGGAGCGCAACAGAAGAATAACCTCTCAATTTAAAAAAGATCTGTAGTTATTTCTTCCTTTTTGCGTTGCCTTCAATTTTAGGACTTATAAGAAAGGTAAAATAAATTAATTTAACGGTTTCCTAGGAGTGAAAATCACACAAATGCTTTACAATTTTCCTAAATTTTCTGATTATGCTTTATATTCTGACGAAATACATTTTCTTTGGCTGAGCAGTTGAGCACAATGAACAAAGACAATAAAAATTTCACTCAAATTTTAGTGACATGCCGCAATCACACGATGAATTTGGCAGCTGAATGTGGCATTCAATAGTCAGCGACTCAGCGCTATCAACAGCTGAAATTTCACTAATTCGAGTTATTTTCATCCAAATGTGTATCAAATTTATTCGAATAGTTCAGACAAATCCGACATTTTACGATGGTTGCTGAGAATCGTTGCTGAATTTTGGGCGTCACGCGCAAAATTCAGGCATCGGGCCGATGACTTCCACATTCAGCGTGTTGCGGCATCAGACAATCGGCTGAAAGAACTCTATTTTTGTGACGTAAGTTGAGGCCTCCAAAAATTTCCTCTCCCACTCGAAGTTCATATGCAACCGCGCATTGAAACTGAAACGCACCAAAAATTAAACTTACACTGAAACGTTGCACATACGTCCTCATTATCTATATTCATTTGATTACCGCGTTTATCTCGCAAGAAATAAGATGAGATATGCAGGATTTATTCGAAAAACCGCAACACCGGACAAGAGATGCGTAACGCAAACCTCCGAACGTATTTCTGCTGAAAGGAATCAGGTAAAAACGAATCAAATTAAAAGAAACTACATGCATGCTCATCCTAAGCATCACAGTTCATTTTGATTTAGCTCATTTCCACATACTATCTTTTAGCGCAAACACGTCCGTTTAAAATCCACAAACGTAGTCCCCAGTAAAAGTGAAACCGTCCACTGACTTGTTTACTGCCGTGCTAATGAAGAACGCCGTATGAGTCTTCAAACGTTGCCAAGTTTCCTCCGATAAAAACCGAAATTTCTGGGAAAATTGTGAAGATTATTTTCTCAAATTTTCGGATAATTTTGTACACAATTTACCCTAAAATATCTGAAAATTTCAAGGAAAAATATGCATAAATTTCGTCAAAAGTACAAGTTTTATCAAGGGAAATTTGGCAACTCCCGAATGTTCACACGGCGTTCTTCCTTAGCACGGCAGTTTAGTGGTCAAATGCGAAGATGAACAAACCATCACCTAAGAAATCCACCTAAACAGCGTGAACCGTTGATCGTATTAGAAGCCACAATTTTCGAGACGCATGTTGAAACGGGAATAATTCCCTTCTGCACTTAACGCTATCCCGTGTCGCGGGGCACGGGGGGGGGGGGGGGGGGGGGGGGGGCTTTTAATCGCGTTCTAATGATACAACTCTATCCGCAGCGGTGACGTCGCAAATGCTCGGAATATCGCCCGAATTTGAATAATAAATAGCTTTTTATTAGCCACGAAATGAGTTTACAGTTAGACTGACCACGCCGCGTTGCGGTGACATTAGATGCGCCCCGTGCCCGGCAGCTGTGTTTGTGGTCGATACGTTGTTCTTCGCGAAGCAAACGAGAGCTTCCTCTGGAAGCGGGTTTGTGCGTTTTGTTGTTCTTCGGACGTAAAATCGTAACTTTGTTTTAACGTGAGCTCTGGAGTTCATTGAGTCGTATGGACAACAGTGTTCATATTAAAATGTATTTACGCTTTTTTGCCAGAGGAGGAACGAGTTGCCGCCTGGCTGTTCGAAATAGTTTGGTAATTCCAAGATGGAAAGGGTCTTTCTTCGAAGAGGTGAAACGATGACTTTGAAGATGGGGAAAACCACGAAGATCCAACTTGTATGATTAAAATGTAACAATCATGGGTGCTTTTTCATAAAAATCCATTAAAATTTATGTAAGACAATTTATTCTTGGCGAGGAAGCTCGCCCAGGGTTGCAATTTTTCATAA